TATGGGCTTCAATAACCATTGGTAATCAGTTTTCACTCACTGGACTAACAAGCATAAGAGTGTGAGTTTGTGTGTGTGTGTTTCATCACTAACACACTGAATTATGAAATTATGAAAGAGGTATCTATAGAAGGCCTCTGTTTAGTATCTCCTTAATTTTCTTATAGGCATTTGTACAGTTTTACAGGCTAATATGATGTATTCTTATTGAATACCTATTTGGATGCTAGCTAATAGGCTCAGTCCAAATCTGAGTGGTGTAAGCAGAAGCCTCAGCAATATTAATGGGTCTTACTTCAAAGAAAGCACAGATGGTCCTATTAGTGAGCTTTCAAAGGAGGCTATGAATACATCTCTGTTTAGCATCAAAAAAACACTTTGGAATAAGGTCTTCCTATATAATGCCATTTGTAAACTGAGTTAGTTTTTACAAAGTAGTTATGGAAGAGATCTAGATACCTTTAAGGAATTAATGTTAGTATAAGGGATATCCAATTTTCTTAGCACCATCACTACAGTTTTGATACTGCCTTGATGCTTTAATTGTTATATTCAAACAGCCCAATAAAAAATCATTAATTTATGTCATTTAAACAAAGTGGGTTACTTCTTATGTGGGGTGGGATGATTTTTACTTCTGTTTAAAAAAATGAACAAAGTCTCAACAAGACTAAATTAATTTAACTTCCATGAATTTCAGTTACTTAACCTTTCCACTGATTATCATTAGGACTTCCAAGTGTCTGATATAGCCACGATTGTTGTCCTATGAATTTAATCTAGGAGGAACAAATACCATTATAAAAAAGTCTCATCATTATAAGGGGGACCTCTTCTTCCACAGAGAAGCATGGTATATTTTAGCTAACATTTTAAATACATTTCAACTTCAATGAGGGTGTTACAGTAGAATCAACTAATCTTTCTCCTATCTCTGATTAAATTAATGTGTAAAGATTCACTTACCAGTCAAAGGAAAGTTAAAAATCAGCAGTGTAATTGAAATGTGTCAAGGATACATAACTGAAATAATCAGGATAGCAAAATAGCAAAGCCAAATGCCTTTTCAATCTTACCATTCACAGGCCATGGAAGGATGTAAAAATGAGGAAGGGAAAGAATAGGCTTTGTTCTATTGTACTTCCATTGAAATGGAGCACATAGACTGGAGTAGGAATTAAAGCTCTTTTCTCTTCCACTTCGAAGTGTTGGTTGACTTGTATCCCCTGCCTCTCAGGTGGGCAGGCTGATCTCACAGGCAGTTTTTGATTGCTTCACACCCACAGGACCAGAACTGTGTTGAAGCCTTTTCTTTCCTCAAAACATGACAGTGTAATTCATTAACTTTTGTTTCAGTGTGAAAGTATTTTCTTTAACCATTTAACTGATGCAAATGCCAAGTTATAAAAGTAATAAATTATAACCAGACATGCATTTATACTCATCACATTATTCCCTTTTGGGGTAAGTAAAGTTATGGAAAGAACACCAACTTTTTTTCCACGCTTCTGACATAACCATCTCTCACTTCTACATAGGAAAGTTGACAGAAGTATGACTTTATGCACAGGCATTTTCACTTCTTTTGATATTCTTCTCCATAACAGTCCACATAATTCCCATTATCTACCAACATATACATGTCTTATACATTTCCATCCATTTCCCCAACTATTTCCATCTTTTGAAAACATTGTATGTCAGTACACTTATTCAGTTAGTTTTTTAGTATTTACACATTGTTTGAAATAATTAATTTACTTTCTGTGTCAAACGGAACTCTCTTGGTCTTTGATATGTTAATTTTCAAAACCCTACTCCTTGTTGCATCATACAGCCTGTCTAATATGTGCTGCAAATCATTTGGTTCTCAGCCAACAAAATAGCATCATCTGAATACAAAATATTATGAGCATTCCCAACCAAAACACCTGCTCCACAACCATTTTTTTATTTAGTTCCGTCATGTGCCACAGTTTTCATGTTTATCAATAAGCCTACAAGTTGAGATGGTCAACATTTATTTATTTGTCTATTTAGCAATTTTATATGGCTGCTCATCTCTCTAGATGTCACTCTGGGCAGTGTATGACTAACAATTAAAACTCTGTCACAACCGTTAAAACACTTAAAACAATAAAAATAAATACAAAGCAAGATTGTGAGAGAAAAACAACCATCTAAGCACAATACAACCATCTCACAGGCTCCCCGTGGGGTCCCCAAAGTTGCTGGAGAAACCATTCAGGACTTTCCAAAAGGCTAACAGGTATTGGCCTATCGTAACCTCGGGGGGGAAGATGTTCCAGAGGGTGGGAGCCACAGCAGAAAAGGCACATCATCTGGGTCCTGTCAGATGAAACCTTTTAGCAGATAGGACCCAAACACACCACTTCTGCTGGAACTGATGGGATAGGTAGATGTGATCAGGAAGAGGCGGTCCCTTAGATAACCTGGATGCATGCCATGTAGGGCTTTAAAGGTCAAAACCAGCACCTTGAATTGCAACCAGAAGCAAACCAGCAGACCATGCAGCTATGGTGTAGTGTGTGCCAGCCTAGGGGCACACATAACTGAATGCACAGCCATACTCTGCACTAGCTTCCAGATACTCTTCAAGGGCAGCCCCATGTACAGCACATTATAGTAATCCATTCTCTGTGTAAAGGGTGTGTTTGCTTTAATGCATAACATTAAAAAGAGAATTTAAAAGTCAATAGCTAAATTAAAAACAACAAAAAGTGGAAGATCCCTCTCTCCCCACCCCCCACCCCCCGTCCCTGCCCTGTTTTTAAGCTAAATATTAAATACTGATCACATAGACCATGAATAGAGAGTAAACATTATGTGTGATCCAAGAATGTAAGTCCAGGTGGTTTTGTCTTTCCATTGAAAAAAAGTGACATTCCTTGTTCAGTCCCACACCTGATCAATCCAAAGTTCTTCATATATTGATACATTCCAAATTTTTAGTACCTAATTCAGCCTCACATTATCATCTTTAACTTCTGTTCTTCTTCCCAAGACCATATTAACAAAAGAGGACAATAGATTTATGTGTCCCTCTAATGTTTTGTATTTTCAGCATAATTAACTTAATACCCAATCCTTCCTAAACATTTTTGAGGCATCCAATAATAATAAAAAAAAATCCCGCCCCAGCATTTGTAGATATTGGGTACTAGGTGAAACATTTCTCTCTCTCTCTCTCTCTCTCCTGGACCAATATTGGGGGGGGGGGATAGGAATTGCTGCAGAACTACACCTGTCTTTGATGACTAGGGTTTGATGGAACCTGGCCAAATTTCTTCTAAAGAAATTAAATTCAGGGAAGGAGAAAGCAAGGAGTCCTCAGAAAGGAGGAGTTGGTCGGTTAAGTAGCAAATAAGGACCTTTCTGGCTGGGAGGAATCCTCCCAAAACTAAGAACAACCTTTTTATCCATTCCCATGGGGGCTTGTAGTTAAAATAAAGCAAATCCAAGTTGCCATTTGAATGTTGCTCATTTCTTGGGGTGGGGGGGGTTATTCTGAAGGTGTAAAACACAAAGAAGAAAAGTGTTTTGTAGTTCTTCCTGACCTGACTGGAGGGGAAGATAGAAGACAACGTTTAACATCCAAACGTAATGAAACTTATTTAGTTTCAGTCCTTGAGAACTAGTATGATAAATTGGTTAGGGTTTGAAGTAAGATTAGGGAGAATTCAGTGGGTAACCTTGGACCAGTCACTCTTTATCAGGCCCACCTACCTCCCAGGGTGGTGGCTGTGAAGGTAAAATGAAGGGAGATCTCATGGAAGCTGTCTTGACCTCTTGGAGAAAAGAAGGGATAGAAGTTGAACAAATAAATAATAAAATATCTCAAAGATTGCTTAAAAAAAATTGCATATATTCATTGAATTCAAAAACAAATGGAAAGAAAAAAAATATAATACAGAGTTACAAAGAAAGGGGAAAAAGAAAGAAAACTAAAAAAACAAAGAACATATATTCATGGCTGCATATGCATTCATACAAGTTCCATTTTCACATTTCAATGAACAGTAGACATATTTCAATATAATCATCATTCATATTGGTAGGCAATAGTATCAATTTTGTACGCAGATGAGTTTTTGAATCCATATATTTATATTTCCAAGACAGAAGGTTAAGTATTCTACTTCTAAGCATTGCACAGCCAATCTACCTTCTTTGTCCAAATGTCAATTTCCGTATGACAGGAATATAGTACAGTAAAACAAAACAAAACAAAAAATTGATCTAAGCTCAAATGGTACAATTGATCTAAGCTCAAATGAAGTTTTTGATATTGATGGTAATACTTTTTCTCATAATCGATGCAAAATAGCAGTCTTTAATTTTTTAATCCATTGAACAATTAAAGTTTGCATATCAAATTAATTCATAACCAACAAAAACCGAAAAACAATAACTACAGAATTGTTGGTATCATAAGGTTTAATAACCAGCTGAAATAGATTAGGTATTTCTGAAGCTGAAAATGCTACAAATCCAACCTGGGATGTCAGTAGAAGTTGTAATTGTAAATGCTGCAACTGAGACACACTAGGCACTTAATACTTATACTTTAAAATGGAAAACATTAAAAATTCATCATTTCAATCTACTAATTAATCCAAAGTATAAATCTCAGCTAACATCCATTTTTTGTCGTATAACAAGGTGTTTTTTCTAAATTAATATTGAAATCTGGATTACTCCATACCATCAAATTAGTATGAGAAAAACAATGAGAATGCTTTGTGTCAATATAACACCAGTTAGAACTAGTTTATTTTATTTTGATCCTGATGCAGTCCAACTAGCTAAAACAAAAATGGATGATCATTCTCACTGGGTCCAAGAAGAAGAATTTCAAATAAGATTAGTAGTCCAAAATGTGGAACTATCACCCTCCTCAATGTTTTCGACTGCATTCTTACACTGTTTCTTAGGGGTAAGCCCCATCAGGTACAAAACTGTACATTACTGAATCTCTTTTAAAGAAGAACAAAAAATCTACCTAACAGCTTCTTCAGGGCTTCTTTCACATCCTTATTTCTCAAGGTGTATATTAAGGGGTTGAGTAATGAGGGAAGGACTGTGTATAACAGAGAAAATAATTTGCTATAATTTTTCTTTTGTTCAGTTTCTGGCATTAAGTACACAATTGTTATTGCCCCATAGAAAAAAGAGACAACAATCAGGTGAGAAGAACAGGTGGAAAAGGCCTTTTGTCTCCCAGTTCTAGATGGAATTCTCAAAATGTTCCTCAGGATAAATATGTAAGACATCAAGGTCAAAATAAAAGGAGGAAATGTGAATATATAAGCCAGGATTGCAATGGCATATTTTGCAAGAGTGGTATCACTGCAAGACAGCTTTATTAATGGCAAGGATTCACAAAAGAAATGATCAATTTCACTGGGGCCACAGAACCAAAGCTGTAACATTAAGACCAAATACACAGAGGTAAACACAGTGCCATTGATCCAAGAGACAGCAGCCAGCTGGATGCACCGGGCAACTCTCATTGTTGTTACATAATGCAGAGGTTTACATATGGCTAAAAATCTATCATAAGACATCACAGAGAGGAGGTAGCATTCTGTGCTACCCAGGGAAGCAAAGAAATAGAACTGTATGATACATCCTTTGAAGGAGATGGACTTTTCCCCTGTTAAGAGACTGTCCAGCATCTTAGGCAAGATTGTAGAGCTGTACATCATTTCCAAACAGGACAAATTCCCTAGGAAGAAATACATGGGTGTATGCAAATGTTGATCAACCAGAATTAGAAGAACAGTGAGGAAATTGGCCATCATGGTAAAAATGTACAGTATTAAGAACAGTATATATAGGAGCATCTGCATATCATGAAGCTCCCCGAATCCCAGAAGGATGAAATGAGTGATGACAGTCTGGTTACCTTCCATTGTATTTCACATTACATGTATACTGGTTCAGAAGGTCAGTTTATACATATGTGGTAGAAAACAGCTGTAGAATTTGAAAATCAGAAGTATCCATCATAGTTTCACTCTACAGGCAGTCAAGAAGCTAAGTTCATGTCAACTTCTGTTGAAAACTACATGTTAAACAAAAAACAAAAAACTATTTCCGTAATTGCACAAATGTAATATTGTGTTATTAAAATACACTTGAAAATATGAAAATTGTGGGTTAGAACTAAGATGGGTCCAGGTACTGTTTGGATCTGTACAAAATGCTTAATCAAATGCTACTGATCATTATATCTGTGGTTTGAAGTGAAATGAGGTTTCTAAATATCTGGGCTGGTTTTCTTTCATAAAACGTAATGTGATGCATTTAAGGCAGAAAGTCTTTGTTTAAAAAGGGAAGGAGCAGTTTAAAAGGTTGTAGAAACTTTTCCAGAAAAATAAATGATTTGCATGAACCAAATTTCAGAAATCCCATATTTAATTTTCACCAATAAATTATTCTTCTGAACTGTGCGTTCTGGATATGTATTTGAGGTTCAGAAAAGCTGGACATATTTTTCTACATCAGGCATGGCCTTAAGGAATCAAAGTTGAATGTGCCATTTTTGATTCCTCAGAGACTATTCTGATCACAATGGCTTGAAAAATATGAAAGTAATTAGTATACTTGTAATTCAAACCAAGGCAGATTTTAAAACATTAGGTTTATATAATATGCAATTATTTAGAAAACCACTCTGCATGACCTTGATAACTTTTTAGTGATTTTCTTTCCTCAAAGATAGTTCTCCCAGTGTCCAGGTCCATGGGATTTTCACATAACTAACATACATAGGAATATATATATTTCAGTCACTAACTCACTGAGTTATGAAACCTTTAAGAAATTAATGTTACTATAATGGATATCCAATTTCCTTAGCACCATCACTGCAGTTTTGATATGGCCTTGATGCTTTATTTTTTCTATTCAATCAGCCTCATAAAAAATAATTAATTTATGTTGTTTAAACAAAGTAGGTAATTTATGTGGAGTGGGATTTTTAAAAAATTTTCTTTTAAAAAATAAAAAAAATCTCCAGAAGAGTAAATGAATTTAATTTCCATTACTTTCAGCTGTAGGTGTCTAAGGGTTTACTGAACCTTTCCACCGAAATCATTAGGACTTCCAAGTGCCTGATATTCTATTTTATTTTATTCTATATATTTTACCTGACATTTTACAAAAACTTCAGCTTCCAAAAAGTGAGGCTGTCCCAGTAGGATCAACTAATCTTTCTCCTATCTCTGATTAAATTAATGTGTAAAGATTCACCTACCAGTCAAAGGAAAGTTAATAATTACCAGTGTGATTGAAATGTGTCAGGGATACATAACTTAAATAATCAGGACAGCAAAATAGCAAAGCCAAATGCCTTTTCAATCTT